GAGCTCGACTCATGACACCCTTACTTCGGACCTCGACCTGACCTTACGCAGATACCTTTCGATCGAAGTATTATTGTCTCGACCAGTCCGTACGACTGGATAATAGATTTCGACAGTATAGCGATAGTCCCCTCATTTCTCGGGAAGGATATGACGAGAAAAGACATGATTTCCAACGTTGCGATTAGATATATACTGACGTCAGCATCGAGTCCGACCATGATGCACGTGGTAGTTGTCCCGTCGGTTTAGCTTACCGAGGCATTTAATGCGCGTCAGTCGATGTCGGCCATTATATGAGATTGAACCGCCTCTGTTTAGCCCATAAATAGCCCGTTCCCAAATTAAACTTAATCTGTTACTCTAATCAAAACCTCCAAATTTTCTTACTCTTTCTGCCTCGATTTCGCCGCTTGTAGAGCCACCTTCATCAGTGTTTGACACCATCATCCTTTTATCTTCCTTTGCTTTTCTTTTACTTATACCAATGGCAAAAACCTCAAAAACCGTACCGCAGAAGGAGAAAGCTTCCTCTTCCCGGCCGTCCGGCGACAAGGCGCCGGCGGAGCCGCTTCCCCACGAGTATGTTCCTGGCCCGTATATTCTAAAGACCTATTTTAAGGTTGAAAATCCTTCGTCGGTTTCGGGCCGATGTGAGCATGTGTCGATGTACATGTGCTCAATAACAGAGGGCCATCTCGAGGCCGTAAGGAAAGACTGCAACTGGGGCCCCGAGGTTGTGCTGCAAATTCCCTCTCCCGAAGAGAGCATCATCACTCACGTGGAGGGGTTTTTAAGTGTTTATACTTACCCCTTCACGTTGGGTCCCGTCGACCCAGTGATCATTGATTTTTCCAAAAGATATTAGGTCACCCTCGGCCAAATTCATCCTTCTCTATGGCGCATAGTGATCATACTTCACTTCTTCTCCAGCAAGGTCGGGGGGCTGAATTTTACTCTAAATTACCTCATACGATTGTATCGGCCTCAAATCTTTCGAGGACTAATCAGGCTCCACCGCCGGGCAACGAAAGCTTTAATGTCGAGCATCGATGAAGACAAGGATCGGGGTTGGATGGGCTGCTTTATTCGGGTGAGGACCCGTGACCTTATCCCGGAAGAGAAGATGCCGTTCTCCGAGGAATGGAATTTCAACCGTAAGTAATTTTTATAAGACTTTGTTTTTCGTATCTTTCTCCGATTCTGTCTGATATCTCCCTTCGATATACAGCTGTCCCTTGGATGCCACAAGCGGTACCTGATCTCGAGGATTGGATTCGAAAGTTAGCCTCGACTTCCTCTTATACCGAACGCGCTTGGCATGATTTGGCAAAAGGTAGATGGGAGACCAAGAATCACGGTAAGGGTCCCTTTCCATGTTTTTTGAAACATTTTTATGCTCCATTCGTTATTGACTTCCTTTCATGCAGGCGTGACCAAGGATGCCGTTTTGAGGCCTTCGAGTGGTGAGGAAGGAACCAAGTCCCCGGTTCAGAAATCGGGGAAAGATAAAAAGCAAAAAACTGTCTCTCAATCAGAGGACCCCAAGCCCAAAACTCGAAGGGTGAGGAAGAAGGTAATTGCTCTTGCGACGGACTCGGTCCAATGACTGAGAGATGAAGAAGAAGAAGAAGAAGAGGATGCTCTCGCACTGGTGGTCCGATCTGCGAAAGCCATCGAGGTCGCCAGACCTTCTGAGCCGATGGCGGCTACACCGGTCGGGGCCGGTTCTGATACCCCGATGCTCGATCATAGTGTCCCGAGCGATTTGCTTGGGACCATGATAATGGGTCATTTGCCTTCTCTTCCGACCTTTTCTGAGGAGGCATTAAGGGAAGCTCGAGAATTGAAGACCCCCGATATGGGTGGAGGCTCTAGTGTAGGGGATCCTTTTCGGGATTGCTTTACTGGAGTCGATGATGCCTCCGATATTAGCGATGCTTCTATTCTTCTAGAAGAGGCCCAACGTTTCATTTCTCGAGTAATGCTTTTACTGCGCTTGGTTTTTTTTTCTAAACCTGACTTGCGTTCTTTCCCTTTTGTATAGGACCTTAGCAAGTTTCGAGCCAATCTCAGCCAGTGTGAGGTCGAGCTTCAAAAGGTCTCGGGGGAGAGAGATGCTCTGAAACTTCTTTGCGGCCAAAAGAATGGGGTTATAAAGGATCTCCAAGCAGATTTGGCCAAGGCTCGTGAAGAAGAGGCCGAGTTAGATAAACATGTGATCATCGTTCTGTTAGAGTATGGTTTCGACCCAACTGTGGAAGCTAACCCTTCGTTATCTCAGCTGCAATAAAAGGTTGAAAAGATCGGGTTGCTTCGGGGAGAAGTTGATCAAATCAAGGCCAAATGTGATCGGTGGAAGGAGACTATAGACCACCTGGCCGCAGAAAAAGAAACTATCTTGGCCAAACTATTATCGAACGATGTTCAGCTTCGAGGCATCAAGCAAAAAAGTTTGGCTCAGACCAGGAGGATCGAGGAGCTTGAAACAGGGCTTGCTGAGGTCAAGGCGGAGGTTCAGTCATCGAAAGTCATGGCGGACAAGTCTATTGCTGTGTATCGGGCCGATGCCGAGGCTGCTCAAATGCAGCTAAGGGAGGCTTCTGACCGAGAGCAACGGGTTACTGACTTGGCAAAGTGCCAATCCCGGAGGGAAACCTTTGAGGAAATCCACACTCGAGGTTTTGAAATTTTCGAGGAGATTTCCCGAGCTAAGGCGCTCGAAGTTGAAGCCAGGCAGCTTGTTTCCTTCGACGAAGACGATGATGAGGAAGGCAGTCGGGGAGGGTCCGATGAGGAGCCTCAAGGAGAAGCAGCTCCCGAAGGAGATATTGACACCGGCCGTAGTTAGGACTTAGTTTCCCTTTTGCGAACTTTTGACCGGTCTCTTTGTACATATCCCCTTTTGTTAATAATAGAGCTTCTTTTGGATGCCTTCTCAGTTTTATGTCTAAACGTGCTTTTGCTTTTGTGAAGATTTTGTTATTGCAACCTAGTTTTTTGGCGGTTCTTTGAGCTGAGTTATCTTGAACTTTGGAGTAATGGTGATAACAACACGATAGGGGTCCAAGAATTACTAAAGAAAATCAAGAAACGTGCGGAAGCTAAAAGAAAATAAAGAAACAAAAGAAATAACGGAAAATTAAAGATAGATTGAATTCAAGAAAGAGTTTCTTGAATTCAAGAAGTCCATTCTTGAAGTTGAATCCTAACAACAACAATTAGCTAACAAAGAACTAATCACCTTTGGTAGAGAATTAAAAACAAGAGATAGATTGTGAAACCCGACCCTTTAGAATAACAAGAACAACAATAAACCTAAACTTATCACCTTTCTTGAATACCTAAAAGTGATCTAAGATTTCGAAAGAGTTTAATCTTACCACCATAAGTTGAGTCTTGAAGGTTGAAGAATAAATCAAGAGTAGCCACACATAAGAGTGCAAGAAAAATCTCATAATTTTTATTGATATTGTCTATAATAATAATCTAAAATCTAAAAACAAAGAGGACACCCCTTTATATAGAGTGGGGTTCACGAAATTCTTACCTAAAAACAAGGAAATAAAGTCCTAAACTACTTTGGACAACAAGTCCAAATACATTAGGAAAAGGAAAAACACTAGGAAACAAAAACCAAGTCAATCTTGGAAAGTAACTCCAACAATCTTAGGAAAAGGAAAACATAACCTTAACTATCTAGGAAAGCAATAAATCTATTATCAAAATATATGGAAATAAGTTAAAACCAATCTTGGATAGAATCTTGAAAGTCGCAAACCAATCATGGATAGGATCTTGGAAATCTTGAAGGCAACTTGCAAGCAACTTGGCACCAACTTGTACCCAACTTCTATCACACCTATTGAACCTTTCTTGGGCAGCAAGTAAGTTCTTTTTATGTTATAAAAACGTGGCTTCATGTAGGACTTATTGGGCTGCAAGTTTGGACACATTTTTATGTGCCAAATAGGTCTAATAGTGTCCTGATTTGGACCTTCTTCAGAGGATGTCTCTTGGGATCTAATCCACCTTTTCTTAGACATGAATTTGGACCATAAAATAATTATAATACCTAGACAACTCATATCCTTTATCCTTGAGCTCTCCATCCCAATTAACAACTTCTTTATTTGCACTTGAAGTCTAATGACCTTGTTTTGCAACTCTTTAGCTTGACATGTTGTTAAAGGCCCTCTCTGAGATTTCAAAGCTTCATTCTTGTCCTTGAATAGATTTGAGCTTCCTAGGATGCTATCATTCCCCTCTTCTTGAAGAAAATCCGTCCTCGAATTTCGACCTTGCAAGAAAAAGAAGTCACGCACTAGTAAATGGCATCCACTAATCTGAGAAAATGGTAGGAATAAAACAAGATAGTGACCATGTGTCCACTTAACCCAATTAAGCCTAATAAGTGTAAATACTCCTTTATAAAGCATATGGACATCATCATCCCAATAAAATTTATGCTTACTTAGAGTTGTCCA